GCATAAGTGGACGATAGTAACCCTGGTTTCTGCTAGATGTGTCATATTGACTCAGTCGGTGTCTGGGAACGCCCTCAACTCTTTACAGCATCTTTTGCGAACCTTTCCCATATCATCTCATTTATTATTTGTTGTATTTGTTAATATAACACGCCGTGGACTTACTCTTTGCAGTCAGTGATTTTGTCAATAAATCCCTGATTTTTCTAATAGAATAACTGACAGAAGCTGCTAAATCCAACAGTATGTGGCATATCTGTGGTAAACAAACACAGCCGGTTAGGGCAGTGTGAGGGAAGTGTGCCCCGACCTCCCTCTGATCCACCGGTTTTCCATCTCTCAGGGTGGAGGGTGGAGCTCAGGAGCCGTGCTCTTGGATCTGAGTCCAGACCATATGGCACCTGAACACTTGAACATTTGTTTTGCAAATAATAATAAGCATAAAATATGATGTAGCTTTGTCAAAGTGGTTTTTAGAATTCCAATGCTTTGAAGCATTCTGAAATAGCCGGGTCAAATTTCACCACTAAATCAAAAGAATTAAATTGACTAATTTTATTGTTTTATATATGTTCATTATTTTATATTCACTCTAAAAAATGCTGGGTTAAAAAGTGACAAACCCAGCTATTGGGTTGTTTTGACCCAGCTGGCTCAGTGCAGAAGAAAAAACTCGTTTTGAGAAAATGGCCTTTTAAAGATATGCATTTCAATTAAAATCTGCAGATGCAAATGCATAAAGTATAATAAACTCTTAAATGTGTATTTTGGATGTTTTCTTTCCACTAGTCTGAAATAAGACATGATATAGCACAATAGGCCAAAATCTCAAAATCGACCAGTGCAAGAAAAAACAAGCATTCTGCCTGTGGTTTTGCCCTAATTATTTAACTAATGGGTTTGTAGCAACTGGGCCCTTATTACAGAATCAACCGAACTCTAAAATCCTGTCTTATCTGTTTAGCACACTCTAAAAAATGCTGGGTTAAAAAGGGACAAACCCAGCTACTGGGTTGTTTCGATTGTTCAAAACAACCCAACCGCTGGGTCAAAACAACCCAATAGATGGGTTTGTCCCTTTTTAACCCAGCATTTTTTTAGAGTGTTCTATTATTATTATTATTATACTTTTTGCATAATGAGAATTAATGACATTTTAGGTTTAAAAAAACTAAGTTTTTTTTTGCATAGGGACTTTATTTTCATAACAATTAAGCATAGAAAATTAATATTTCAATTGTTTAGTAAATTTGTCAAGTATAATAGTAAGTATACATCATGGTAATATATGTTGTCCTAAGTTTAATTAAAACATTTAATTTAATTTTAAAAACAATATATCTTGACCAAATCATTTTTATTATTGTAAATAGGGTCAAGATGTGCTTAATTGTTAAAAATAAATAAATAAAATAAAGATAAAATAAAGATTAAGAAAAAAAAAAACATTCTTATGAAGTGGCTTCAATTTCTTATGTAAAACATAATTTTTTATCTTTCATCTTCCTTTTTTTCTTTGATTGTGGAATGAAATATGACCCAGACATTTCCTTGTGAGATTCATCCATAAAACCAAAAATGTGCTCTTGCTAGACAGTGGAAATATATGTGCATTATTTCAGGACATAGCCTTTAGAGGGCATCTATGCTCTCCTTTTCAATGAAACATTACCTTGGGCAGCACCAGAGGGATTGAGATGAAACAAGCATGTAGAATTGTCCGGAATTTGAATCTGTATTTGTAACACTAATTTGTAGCCTCTAACACTAGCATTCTCTATTCTATCTTCGTTTTCTTTTTTATTTATTATTAAAAAAAAAAATTAAACAGAAAAACACACACAGAGACTTGTCACAGCACTTACATATTATTGCCCTTTTGTTGATTTTGATTGCTTCTATTGTCCTCATTTGTAAGCCGCTTTGGATAAAAGAGTCTGCTAAATGACTAAATGTACAGCATTACATATTGAAACTAGCAATGCTTGAGTAAAAGAGCATATCTAGAAATTTTTTTTATTTAATTTTTTTCTGACATGTTGGTGTTATATCTTTCACTTGGATGTTATAAGTTGCACTGAGTAAATACAGCTGGATAAAACAAAAACTGTGTCTGTCTTCATTTCAGGCTGCAAAGCAACAAAATGTAATTATTTTAAAGGGGGGTCATTCTTTTCTATACCCACTGTAGAGTCTGTACCTTCCTGACCCTAAAGTGAGCGTCAGTCCACATTCATCTAAATGATAAAACCAATCCAGATTCCTAAACAGCACAAAGAAAATTAGAAAGGAATCATCATTACTCAGTGGCTAAACAGCTCAGAGTATCGAGATATGAGAATGACACAAACATAATCAATACTCTATGAATAGGGTGGATTAGGAAGCATTTGCCGCTGGACAAAATTTTTCTACTATGCGTAAATATTTCACAAAGGTGTCATATTTGATCCCGCACCTCACTCTCTCTGTCATCTATTCTTGTCTCTTCTGAACATCCTGTCCTCCTCCTATTGTTACTGACACACACACAGACACACATTCTCTTTCTCACTTTGCAAGCCTCTAACTCTCCAGAGCTTATGCCGATATACATTGACAGTCTTTCTACACCAGCCTTGTCTATATCCTCCCCTCAGACACGCATACAGTTCCCCATCTATTTTGCTCCTAAACAAAATGGCTATTTTTAGCACACCCTCCTCTCTGTGGAAAGTGCAGAGGAATATACACTGAGCACTTAAAGTGGAGTAAAATCAAAGATGCCAACAGGCACCTCTCCCTGAATGGTTTGAAGCTACCAACCTTTTCCTCTGGATGAGCTAATAATATCGACATCAAAAAGCTCCCAGTGTTCTGAAAACATGCAATGCCGTCATTATTTTCTTTTCTAAAATTATCTGCCAAATAGCTCTGAGCATCTCTGTGACATTTAGACAATGCACGACAACATTGAAAGGAACAAGCAACACAGCTTTTGGATTTCATATATCATCTTTGTTGTATTTGCAGTATTGATCATTTGGAAAGGATATATGCATGACTCGATTTATAGATTGTCCACTGGTGGTGCTTGTAAAGTGCTTTTTTTTTTTACATCCAGCAACACTGAAGACACTGTTTTTCAGTGGTTACATCCTTAAAAAACATGGCTGCATTGTAGAGTGAATATTACATACTGGATCACACTAACAGGAGTGTAAAACAGTCATTGTCTTGGGGCTTGTCCTTTACAGCCAGAATGGGTTGAAATAGACTCAGTTCAACTCTCTGCCAATTGAAGTGTTTGTATAAGTCTAGACATCCCACGGTCTGGCTGTTGAGCACAGGCTATAGGGCCTGAAGAGCTTTATGGATATACACACATGCCCAAACACACACACATATAACACTGTATTGCATAATTAAGCAATAGGAGAGACTTTCTTTGCAGGCTCAACAACATGGGATGGACACATACAGGACTCGTCTCAATCACTGCAGCCTACTCATGTACTCATAAGGCTAAAGGCAATCAAAGCATGGTACAACAGTTCACTGGTTCAAAGGTGCAACTTCACTGTATTTTAAACCTATATCAGAATCTCACAACAGTGCGTTTATGCCTTAAGTTATCATGAAATCTAAATATTTACTTAATAATGGTCCTGGATTAATGGTGTATGATTTGTCAAAAAATAAAAAATAAAAATACTTTTTTTTCCCTCATTGAATATGAGAACATGTAGTAATTTAATTAAATAAAAAAATATTACTGCTCTAAATCTGTGTGATAAATTGAATTGACTATTGAATTAATAATAGAAATATAGCTATACTGGGAGGAGACTTCATGGTTATATGGTTTTGACTGGATTTGGTCTTTAAGCTTTTTATCCCGGTCATTTTTTTTTTTTAAAGAAAAACTTTTGTGACGACAAAAAAAAAATAGATTCCATAAGTTGATGCACATCCTTCTAAACCGGGGCAATGGACTGATTATGAGATGCTAACAAATATGATTTTGTGACATTCAATGCTGTCATTTTTTTATCCCGGTCATTTTTTTTTTTTAAAGAAAAACTTTTGTGACGACAAAAAAAAAAATAGATTGCATAAGTTGATGCACATCTTTCTAAACCGGGGCAATGGACTGATTATGAGATGCTAACAAATATGATTTTGTGACATTCAATCCTGTCATTTAGCATTTCAAATGACATTTAGAAAATCAACACACAAGCCAAATGTGATACGAGAAACTGGTGCACCTGCAAGCAAAGCAATGACTGTGTTTTTCCAGTGTTTCACAGATGTGCCTGTCCAATGAGGAAAAAAAGAAGGCTTCAAAGAGGTACTGTTATAGCCCTGACATTTGACACTGCCAGGTCTAGCACCAAAAGCACAATACATGTTACGGTCATACATTAAATATAAGGTTACAGTGAAAATGTTTGTGGATTAGGATGATACATGTCATACACCAACAGCATACTGTCTGATATCATGCATAGAAAACCTGCTGTTTGCCTGCATTAGAGCTGAAGTGGGTAATTTCTGTTCCCCTAGTGGAATTACAAAATGTTGCTGTGTTGTGCTGCTTATACATCAGAGCAGTAATTTGAAAGTGCCACACTTTTGGGGGAAATTAACCCACAAATGGATTACAGAAAGTTTTTAACATCAAAAAAAAAAAAAAAAGACACACTTCAGCTTTAAAGCATCCAAACGTAAGTTTAGTACATTTCTTAGGCACTGGCTAAGCACTGTAGGGCGTCAGTTTGGATAGATTGGTTTAACATTCAGGTTTATACACTTTGTTAAACCTACACGAATTGTGCGTGTTGCATTGATGTCTATATTCTGAATTTAAAAAAGAAAACATAGTTAGCAGCAGCTGTGAAAGCAGTATCTGCTTCTAAATTAGCAGCATCAGCACATTACGTTTGCTTAAAAATATTAGAGAGTCGAAGACAAAGGCACCTGCAGCCCAGGTGAGATATTGGAATGGATGTGGGTAAGAAACCTTCTATTGGTACACAGTTATGTGCCACATCAAATAATAGAGTCAAATCGTCAGTCCATCCATAAAGAGTCTCAGGATTTAGTGTCTAAAGAGCCAAGAGAATGAAAACAGTGTTTTTGCTGCCTTGATAATGGCTATTAGTTGAAGGAAAGGCTGCAACAACTGTGGTTGGAGCCAAAACATTTGTAGAAATCCTTAATCATAGTTTCTTTCTGTTGATTCATTGTTGTTTGGCATTATAGAGTTTCTTCATCATAGGATACAATGTAAGCCTGTAAATCTAGATTACAAGGTCACCTGAAGCTAAGACAATCAGAGTCCCAGCAATCAATGCCCTAATGCTGCACTGTCCATCCAAATGCAATGCTGAGTGTCTTTTTATACTTTCACTCACAAACCAAAACCTGAAAACTGAAAACAGCACCTTTGGATCACAATAAAACTTTGCAGATAAAAATAGATGTATATATGTATATATACAGACCAAGATACATATTGTCGGAATACTCACTAGTTTTTGGATATCACTTTCTCTTGAGCTTAAAATCCATGCCATTAGGATTGGTTTTGAGGCCATGCAACACTATAATACCGGTGTTTTTTCTCGATCAAAGGCAGTAAAAATGACAAAACGTCTAACAAGCTCTATCAAGGTTTTTCTGAAACATCTGAAAATGATTTCAGGATGACAGACACGCCAGTGATTAAAAATAATCTGACATCATTGCTACAAATTTGCTAGGGGACATTAAAGTGTGAACTACAATATGGCTCATTAAGTGACAAAGCAATTTGAATATCAACTACATTTTGGACTATCTCTGCAGCTTCCAGCAGAATATACACTGAACAGTATGCTCTTACACAAAATACATCAAGCATTTTTTTTCTGTGGCACTAGGGTGTTATTTTGCTTATTATTCATTTAATGTGTAAATATGTTTTTGTATGTTCCTTATCCTGAAGACCTGCAAATAAAAACTGACATGAAATGAGAAAAGAAAAGCCACTGAATGACAGTGAACCCAGACACCGTAGACTATAAATAACATAAAATATGACATGTAGAGACATTCATCTTGTCTTGAAAAGCTTTGCAGCAGGATAATCGTGAAGGAGTAGATACAAGTGTTGTCCATACATACGTATTGTGGATCCACACACGGCTATTGACACAAAAGCAGGCAGTTTTCTATGACATTCCCAGCCTGATCACTACAATAATCACTGCAAAAATAACAGACAACAGTCTTGAATCTATGTGAATATTGGTGTTCTAACAAGCAGCAGGAGAGTGGATGAAACTTCTGTGAATATTCTTTGTATCATATACATGTACTGCATGTGACCGCAAACCTTTTTAACAGCAGATGAAGCACACAAATGACATTTCTTTGGCGAAGCTTGGCTTTGAGATGTTGATGGAAATATACCGACACTCATGTGCTGTTTATTTGTGTTCCACAGTTTCGTATAAATACTTGGCTCCTGATCCGGATAAGGTTTTGGATAATATAGACGACTCCATGCAAACATTGATGAATACTTGGATCGTGGATGGACCTAGATGTACGGATAGACTTTCAATGAAGAATTGGAGATTGGAAATCTCATGACAATAACGGAGTTCAACCTCACAATCCTCCTTCGAACATGGCTTACTAGTCCTTTCATAATTCAATTCGTACCTGCTCCCCAAATGACTAGACATCTGTCAGCATTTTTTTGATATTAACATAATTTGTATTTGCTAAAGTGCAATTGGCTGTCTTGAGGTTCTCTTCCTGAAAGTCCTCATTGCTGTTGTTGACACCTTCTTGGATTTCCATGTAGTCCGACTTGCTAATGGTGGATCCACTTCGACTTCCCTTCAGCTCTTCTTGTGAATCGGCTTTAGGGACGTTAACTTGGAGATACTGTGCCTGCTCCTCGCCTTCTGTTTCTCGATGGTAGAAGTAGTTGAAGTTGGAGACGATGACGGGCACTGGGAGGGCAATGGTCAAGACGCCAGCGATGGCACAGAGGGATCCGACAATCTTTCCTCCGATGGTTGTGGGCACCATATCTCCATAGCCAACAGTCGTCATTGAAACCACAGCCCACCAGAACGCATCCGGGATGCTATAAAACTGTGACTCGGGTTCGTCAGCTTCTGCAAAGAAGACTGCGCTGGAAAAGAGGATGACTCCGATGAAGAGGAAGAAGATGAGTAGACCTAACTCTCTCATGCTGGCTTTGAGGGTCTGGCCAAGAATCTGAAGTCCCTTTGAGTGACGGGAGAGCTTGAAGATTCTGAAGACTCGTACAAGTCTGATGACCCTCAGAATTGCGAGAGACATGGCTTGTTGCCCTTGCTGCCCATCCTCTGCTGTCTCGGCCAACTCCGTTCCCAGCGTGATGAAGTACGGAATGATGGCCACCACATCAATCATGTTCATTATGTTCACAAAGAAGCTGGCTTTACTAGGGCAGGCAAAGAAACGCACCAAGAACTCGAAGGAGAACCAGATGATGCATAGCGTCTCTAGAATGAAGAAAGGGTCTGTGAAGTAGGTAGATGTGTAACTGGTTGTGGAGTTAGTGACAGCAGCTGGGACTTTGTGCATCTCCTCCTCATCGCTGCGGAAGATGGGTAAGGTTTCCAGGCAGAAGCTGACGATGGAGATGAGGATGACCATGACAGATATGATCGCTATAATCCTAGCTGGCCCAGAACTTTCTGGATACTCGAACAGCAACCAGACCTGCTTCTGAAACTCATTGTCAGGCAATGGCCTCTCCTCCTCCTTGATAAAACCCTCGTCCTCCCGAAACATCTCAATTGCTTCCTCTCCAAGCTCATAAAAGCGGATCTCCTCTGAGAAAATGTCCAAAGTGACATTGACGGGGCGCCGCAACCTTCCACCCGATTGATAGTAATAGAGGATGGCGTCAAAGCTGGGGCGGTTTCTGTCAAAAAAATACTCATTCCTGAGCGGGTCAAAGTACCTCATGCGCTTCTTGGGGTCCCCCAGTAATGTTTCGGGGAACTGCGAGAGGGTCTTGAGCTGTGTCTCGAAACGCAGACCCGAGATGTTGATGACCACTCGCTCACAGCACTCCTGCTCCGTTCCGGGGTCATAGTCCTGAGGAAGACCAGGGTGTGCTGCTGCCTCATCTGAGGGGTCGCCTGTGGCCACAGTCATTATGCAGGAGGGTGAGGCCTGCACTTTTCACGGAGGCAGGGCACCACTGGGTGGGAAATCCTCACAGCAGGGGAATTGACACCGTAGAGCACTAAGGGCAACAGCGTGCTACTGGGTGGGTCAACTGAAAGACAACAAATGATATTTTAAGACAGCATGCAGATATCTTAAAGATTGTGTCTACAGAGGGTCTAAAGCAGGGGTGCCCAAACTCGGTCCTGGAGGGTCGGTGTCCTGAAGAGTTTCAGGTCATCAGCTTATTTGTAGAGACTTCAAGAACTGAAATTGGTGCGTCAAGAGAAAGGAGACATGCAAAATGTGCAGTGTTGGGGTGCCTCCAGGACCAGGGTTGGGAACCACTGTTCAAGATCACTGGAAAGCTATAGGCAGGTGTGTTTAATTAGGGTTGGAGCTAATCTCTGCAGGACAGTGGCCCTCCAGGACAGATGTGGCCCATCCCTGTTCTAGTGAGTCTGAAGACCTTGATTAGCTGGTTCAGATGTGTTTAATTAGGGTTGGAGTTGGCTCTCCAGGAACTGAATTTGACAACCCTGGTCTAAAGGCCTTCTGTAACAAAAGTAAGGTGAACACAGGTAAAGTGGGACACTTTCTGATCATGTGTTATTGGCGTTTTTTTTTTTAAATATGATTCTAATGACTTAGGCCCATCCCTGTTCTAGTGAGTCTGAAGACCTTGATTAGCTGGTTCAGATGTGTTTAATTAGGGTTGGAGTTGGCTCTCCAGGAACTGAATTTGACAACCCTGGTCTAAAGGCCTTCTGTAAGAAAAGTAAGGTGAACACAGGTAAAGTGGGACACTTTCTGATCATGTGTTATTGGCGTTTTTTTTTTAAATATGATTCTAATGACTTAGCCTTTCGCTCATTACATTTACATTTGTTTTAATGCTTTGCTTGTCACTCTAAGGGGAAAAAAAATGGGTAAGGTAAATATTATTTATGAAAAATGTTTATCATAATATAAGTGTGTCCCTAGAATAATATTCAGACTTCACACAGTCAGTACAAAATGGCAAAGCTTAGGCAGAAATTATATCTTAAATATAGCACAATTTATATAAAACAGCATATTTAGTTATGCATTCACATGCAAAGCAGTTCCTTGGTCATCTTAAAGAAAGCACCACAAAATGAAGCTTTTCGACAAGCCCTGTCAATTCTTTTTGGTGTGCTGCAATGGACAAATAGCCATTCACATAAAACTGCATCTCTCACAGTGCAGTCATGTGAAAGAGGCCCTTCTCTATGAGACATGCACATCCTACATAACCATGCTGTATCCATTCAGTGCGTTCCCTATCCCTTTCTCCTCCTTTTCCATGAAATACCCGAACGTTCAAAGAACTGCATATGGCATGCTGTTCGTACATATTTGTTAGACGTGTTTCAATGTTAGACTGTTTCTTGTCCCAAACGGTGCCAGCATGCTCTAAAATATTCAGCAGAAGCAGCCTATGAAATATTAAACTTCAGGAAAATACATTTTAGGCTTTAACAAGACTTTGTGGTCTCTCTCTTTTCACTCCCTCCTCATAATATTATACAAGATGCATAACTGTAGATAATAAAATACACACAAATACCAAATAAATGAATAAAGCATCATGTATTCAATAGTCCAGACTACGTAATCAGAAATGAGACATTATACCTGCTCGGATAAACTTCTAAATCACCCCTGTGGTTCCTCAGGCTCCCAGAAGTCACGACAGCCTTCTCGAAGTGAGGATAGCACTCCAGCGTCTGTGTGGCTCAGATGAAAAGGACAAACACACATCTGATTCCTTAAATCCCAGCTGCTACTGTCTGCCGTAGCTCTCGGCGCACCGGCGTATTGTGCATAACGGGGCAGGCAGGGAGGAGGGGCAGAGAGGTACAGTATGCGGGTATGTCCTCGTCTACCCCAGAGCTTCCTTACAGCAGGTTGTTTGAGAAGGACAAGGAGGAAAGAACAGGGAAAGCGTATGATGCAAAGGAAGGAGGATCTCTTCATTCCACATTTAAGAAGGCATTAAGCAGTCCATAAAGGGCACCACTGCCTTTGCTAGACAGGTTGTAACAAACGACAGAAGAGATGAATGTGAAATATATGCAGTAGGCACAGCATCGCGCTTGCCCATTAAGTAAGTATTAGTCTTTCAGGGATTACATCAATTAATTGGACAGCTAATTTTTACATTAATGGGAACGCTCTTTTAAGTGACTGATAATAAGCTACTGATAATTGTGCAGTGTGTGAGGGTCAATGACAAAGTATGTCAGACATAAAAATAATTTCTCTGCACCTTAAATACATGAGAATTTTTTAATGTTTCAAACATTTTTCAAGTAAAAACTACACATTTTTATAATCATGATTTTTTTTTTAAATTATAAATAAAGTTTTCCACTTGATGTGATCAATATGTTATTTCTTTATTTTGGTCACATGACAACAAAATGGCTGACATAATACCAATATTGTAAGAATTTCAGCCTTTTAATTAGCCTTTTTGTTACTTTTTTCTCAGGACAGTTATGCCACCAAGCTCCACAAAAATGATCAAAATGACATTTAATTAGTTGTATTGAAGTAAAACTGCATTTTAACATTTTTAATTTACCTTAATATATTTTCAGAATAAAAATGAACAGTACAACAACGACCCATGAGCCAATCTAATTTAAAATAAGATAAATATATATTTTTGCAAAGACATGTCCCCTTAATCATAAGTGATGGCACTATCACTGTTAAGTGCATTATTGAAAACAAAAACTATAATTGTATATTAATGTTTTATTCGCCAAAGGGTTTAATTTGACTAAAATCTAGTAAAAAATTATCTTTTTTACAGTGATTGCAATACAGTATAAATGCAAATTCTCTCAAGATGTCATGTTGACATGGGAACAGATGCAGAACATCATACATAAGAAGTCTGCAGCGACAGACGTCTCGAATCTCCTCCTACCTGTCTGTCTACCTCGCTTGCCGACGTGTAAACAAGCCATTAGTCAGTTAGTTAAGCGGTAAATGGAATCTGCAGTCAATCGCTGCTGTGCATACCAAAAGACTTCTGGATTATAGACACGTGCTCCGTCCGCGCTACCACTCCTCACCTTATCCGCAGAGTGGGCAGTTTAAAGGGGACGCTCCACGAGTGATGTTTCCAGAATTAAATCAGAGGATGCTTCTTAAATGAGCGTAGGGTGCTCTAGCCCTAATGCACATCTATTTTCACGTCTATTTTTGTCCCGTCCATTGCTATGTTTAGAACTAGTCACTAATTGCTATTTTGAGAGTGAATCTCGCATAAATATGCGGATGTCATTCCCGAAACTTTACAGCGTGTATGTGCAAGTGTGGGCGAAAAACAAGTTTTATATAAATTCTGAATGGGTTATTATAACATAGAAAGCGTGCAATGAGCGCTCCCCGTATAATCACTAAAAAGCTGTTACTCTTAGTTCATCGCGATCACAGAGTTTCGTTAATCAGTGAAGCTCTACACTGCACAGTGAAACTCTTATTTACATTGGGTCTACACTTTGTTATAATGTGAGGATTCACGAGCTTGTATAAATCTGCACTGAACAAACTTCAGGGGTTTTCAGCGGTGAGTGGATTGCAACTTAAACGCCACTGATTGGCAATTGCGTTCGATTTGATGTGTTTTAAAAACATAAAACCTGTCTCTCCATGTGTGCATTTCCCTACTAGACATATGTATTGCATCTGATGGGCTGATAATACTCAAACCCAAAGAACCCTAACCCTGACTTCATCAAGAAGTCAAGAAGTTCTTCATTATTTCAGTACATACTCTGTAAGTACCAACAAAAAATACACACAAATGTTATCCCTTGTAACATAGTCACTATTTTTATTTTTACTACAGTAATACAGTTATTTTTGCTTAAAATGTGACCTATCTGTACTATTTGTTGATTCCAACGAAACAGCGATAACTCAAAATAATTGCTAGTGTATTGTTTACTGCATACTGCACTATACTGGTCCAATTGTGGAATTATTTGCAGTATGCAATGATGCACAAATGTGATATACTGTAGGTCATGTGTGTATTCTATGCATGCCGTAAATCTAAAACTATGCACAATATTCATACTGTATACTGCAGAATAGATGGTGTAGTATGGTAGTATTCCGAACAGCTGTAGAGTACATTTTTGACCTTTCTTTCTGTCTGTGAAGCTGTGGCATTTGTGCATTGATTGGATCTGAAGGTTGAGGCATGAAAGTCACAGACAGAAAGCGATACAGATAAACGGTCTCCTTTCTAACAAAAGCAGCACATATGGCCATTTGCTGCAGTTGTAAATCATTAGGGCACCTTTACTACCACTAGTGTCAGCTTTTAGCTCATGCATTTGACTGGGATTTGAATTAAATAATTTCAATTTGTTGCATTTAACATTTGGTGTACAAATGATTAAGCTAGATCTCATCAAATTAATTATTTATTTAATTTCATTGGTTGAATTCAGAGTGCTTTCAAGGAATGCTTTTGAATACAAATTGTGCTGAGGGCTTTGTGACAGGCTATTTGTTTTATAGCCAGAGCTTGGATGTCAATCATGCATACATGTACAAGAAATCTGTCTGACAGTTCAGCTGTTCTTTATGAGAGAAGCCAGTACAAAGAAGTGTTCATGCACTTCGCCTTGCATTAGCTCACACTCTTTAATTAAAACGGAGAGGTCAGTGTAATTCAATGCTTGGGTGAGATGTGTTTAAGATTAGCCAAAGAGAGGAAATGTAAGTGTAAGCCAAACCTGATCCTGGGTCAATCTGGACGTACACTCACGGTCACACAAATATACAAGTTAAGTCACAAGGGACAATGTGGTCAATGTATAATAGTTAAGAGAACTGGTAAGAAAAAGCTTTTAAGGCCATTAAAAAGATTGTCCTGTCCTGTCCTGTGCTGTTTGCAGTGGTGCTTTGTGCTGAAGAGCAGGACCAGGAGTGAAGACAGATTCACTTACAAGTTATTGGTTTAATAGTGTGATGCAGAGAAAAACTGATCTTGTCAGTGCAGACGTTATAAAGTAAGGCTTTAAAAAAAATTGGAAAGTGAAATGAAAGAAATATTTTAAAGTTATTTGTTTAAAAGATCAGATTATGTCAAATCAAATATGGTCTGTGATGGATGTGATAACCGCTGGATTGCATAAATCGTCTTATTACATTTGTACTAATGGTACTGTATATCCAAATCCATTGCTACTACACTAAAAAAAATTGGTGTAGAAAAAAAAATTCACTCAGAAATTTGAAATAAAATAACTAAAATAGTATTTTCTAGAATAGAATTGCATTTTTTTGTTGTGTAGCTATGTTTCAATTCAGGTTATGATTAAAATTCACGCAAAAAAAAAAGTTTAGATGAACTTCATATTTGCTAGCATGCTAAATATTTCTGTGCTGTATAGCAGCCAATCATCTGAGCAGACTATTTAGTCACATGACTTGTCAGTTCACACAATGAAGGAAAAAATATAGAGCTGTTTTGTTAATTTTTAAGTCTCTAAGTGGGTCTGTCGACATTCGTTTTAAAAAAAGTATACAAGGCTTATTTCGGTAATGAACGATGCAGTGTTTTTAACAGATCAATTCATTGACACAGGTATAAAACTTGCATAACAAATAAAAGGCTACCTGCTATATTGATGTAAAGACATTTCATCTGTAGAAATTATCACTGAACAAATCAGTACACAAATCTAAACAATCTTTCAGTGAGTGGATTAAAAAAACTGGAGTCATGAGGATGACTTAAAAGCCCACCACTAAGTCACTTGCATATAGGAATTTATTCAGTAAATGTGTTTCCATCGTAGTTTATGCACACTTCTTCTTACTGAATAAAAATATCCACCTCAAGTAAGTGTATAAGTTTTTTATGAACATTTTGGATATTTTTTTTCATCTTGATGGTTCAGTCTAACATTTTTAAATGTAATATCCAAAAAAAGTAGATGGAATCTGAGCTACTGATTGTGATCATATTGCAATATGATCACAATCAGTAGCTCAGATTCCATCCACTTTTTTATTTTTTATTGATTCTTATGCAGCAGGTTTTGTTACGATTGTTTCCATTTACATAAATGTAACTAAAATTTAACAAATGTGACCCTGGACCACAAAACCAGTCGCTGGGGTATATTTGTAGCAATAGCCAAAATAACATTTTATGGGCCAAAATGATTGATTTTTCTTTTATGCCAAAAATCATTAGGATATTAAGTAAAGATCATGTTCCATGAAGATATTTTGTAAATATCCTACCGTAAATATATGAAAACTTAAGTTTTGATTAGTAATATGCATTGCTAAGAACTTAATTTGGACAACTTTAAAGGTGATTTTCTCAATATTTAGATTTTTTTGCACCCTCAGATTCCAGATATTCAAATAGTTGTATCTCGGCCAAATATTGTCCTATCCAAACAAACCATACATCAATGGAAAGCTTATTTATTCGGCTTTCAGATGATGCATAAATCTCAATTAAAAAAAAATTGACCCTTATGACTGGTTTTGTGGTCCAGGGTCACAAATAATAATTTCATAAATCTTAAGATTCTAAATGATTCAGCATTTTTTTTTTCAGGGCTGCTTGAGTTTGAGGCAGGAGATAGCAGACAGTGGCAGGAAGCCAAGAGCCTGAAGCAGCTCAAGGTCACTTACTCACTGCAGCAGATCCATCTCAGCCTGCAGTGATACACACACACCTGCACACCAGTGAGGATAACGACATTGTGACTCGTTCGATTGCATGTAATAGAGATGAGAAACAAATCTTAAGTAAATATGGAATATTTGATTTAATCCCATAAAATATACCTGATGTTATCCAGTGTCCAGTCACCTTAAAATCACATTCATATTACCATCGAGACTATTTTGTGAATAAAACTAGATTGTGAAAGCCAACATATACAGATATGGTCTCCACTGTTACATTCTGCCATCACTGGATGGTGCTCCTCT